CCAAATGTTTAGCAATTACTCTAACTGAAGCCTTCTAAGCTCTTTCAACTATTTCCAACGAATATGGCTTTAAAAATCTTAGTAACAAATACATATGTATTATGCATTTATATATGTGTATTACCGAGATAAATAGCTTATCGAATTCGGCCGAATGGACTTCGGCAAATTTTTTAGGGTGTCCCAGAATTTATGAAAACAGCTGTAAAGCGGCTAGCATTATAGATAATGCCGGTCAACTTTTGTCGGTATTATGTCATCTCGGGAATCTGTCTTTCGGGATTTCGCAGTAGAACCTTGTAAAACACGTAAACGATTGATACTTGGATTATCATCACGTGAAATTTGCAGGTGACTTATTGCTTAACCTAGTTTTTTTTTAGTCAATGTACAGTGTGCACTCATTCGAGATTACAGAAGATCTGTAATGGATGACCTGAATTGTGTGGCATGGGTTGTCAAATACCCATACCGATACTAGAGAATGAATAGACTCGTCTTAACTTGTGATTCGTGAATTATGCTTAGAAGAGTACTCAAATCATTTGATTTGACTAACAATTGCGGATCTCACGAATCATAGTTCGAGTCGTGATAAACTCGAATTATTCAGCCACGAACTTGACGAGTCCAATGGGCGTCGATCAAAACGTATCGTAGTGAGGTCACGGCTGATGTTGATTTATAATTCAAATATTAATATAATTTAAATAAATGTATACTATAAATTTTATCTTTTTAAACTCAATTTTTCATTGGATAATACTCTAGTCTTTTTTTTTTATTTTACAGATGCTGGTTTTCTGGAATCTAGATTTGGAAATATATAAACCCTTTATTAACTTTAAAATCCCAATCTATGATGCGAATCCATCCAATAAAATTGACTTTATTGTTAAAACAATACCTTTCAATCATCCTTTATTGTAAAAATAGCATTTAAAAATTGAACAATATAATTAATCAGAACAAATTCTGCCTACAGTATACTGTATATAACTAAATTATATATCTATATAAAATATATATAGTATATATATACCTAGATTAAAAGATATATTTATATTTAAAATTATATGCTTAATATTTGCTTAAGAGCATTTTTTTTATACCGGTTATAATACCCGTAGGATACAATTCTACGTATGTTAGCGTTAGATATACGTATACGTATATATATATATATTTATATATATACAGTATATATTATTTATGCATATATATATTATATATATATATATATGCATATAGTTTTTAATAAAATAGCCGACTACTACGTAATCTATTAGTTTTAAAATGAAATTAAAATTACAAGTTTTACGTATCTGTATTAAAAACAAAAAACGTGTGAAATAATTTTGTGTATAGCTATTTTTATAAAAATTTAAAGCGATACTATATATATCGATATTTATTATACGTAGCGCCTTAAGTCACGTTTGTGCTGGGATCTGCGAGGACCCCATAAAAAATTATGTTCGTATTACGTAACTATTTAAATAGTACACAAGCATTTTTCAAACGCAGTTTTGTTTGCTCTCCTTCGATGTAAAAAAATCACGATCCTAATTTTACTTTTGAAAATATTTCATACATTAAACCAATACTGCCATTTTATTAATAATGACGTCTGAAGGGATACCAATTCATATAAAACAACCTATGATTCATACGAGTATATCTGAAGAAAGTATACTTGACTCAACTTCCGAAGTTGTATCACCCGAAACTTTACAAGAGACATCAATTTCAGAGTCATCAAACATTATACTTCAGATAATTCAATTTATTTTAGTTGCTTTCAAATTTATAATTTCTAAAGCTTCCTCACTACGAACTTTTACCCCTGAAATAGCTTTCTTTCTTGATGCTATTATAAACTTTTTTTCGTCAACATCAAAGATTAATTTAATATTATATCTAATAATTTATTTCACATGGAGTTATCTACAGAAATCTTCATTAATATTGCTTATTCTTGGCTGCACTTTTGGCTATATGCTTCGGAATAATGATACATCTAATCAGAAAAAATCTTTATTGATTCAAGAATCTTATGTACAACAAAATACTCAAATTTCTCTACAGGTGATTCTTATTATAAATTATTTAATGGATCAGTACTTATGAATTTCAGTATTAATATTTGTATTGTTCCGATAACTAAGGCTATTGAATGTGAAAAAGCAACTTCTTCTGAACTTTCTATTACTCCTCGAGTAGATGATTCATTAAATAAAGCATTTGATTTTATCATTCGGGATATAATTGTTTATTATTATAATCAAATAAGTTCAAACAAGGATTCCGAATTTCAAATTCATGTACGAAATTCCATGAATGTTATGGCAACGAATTTGTCTTTGTGCCTCCAGAATATTGATAAAGTAGAATTAGGAATTATGTCTAGTTTTGCTATTGCAAACAATTTTATTGTCCATTTGGTATGTATTTTATTATTTTATTAATTAAATATTGGTCCTTTAACTGATTTTTCTCTCTTATATCTAATAGCGCGAATACAAAAAATATATTATAACAAATGAATCATTGAGTACTTATTGCTCACAAAATAAGAACTCTTTACTTTCGCACACCACAGACAAAGAATCGCAGGCGCAAGTACTCCGTTCTTTATCTAAATTATTGTTGACTCGTCTTTTACCATCAAATGAGATTCAGAGTCATCTATTGATGACGTTTCTTTCTGAATTATGGGCTATTCAAATCTTCGAAGCATTATTAGAAAAAATATGTGATCCAGATTGGTTAAATTCTGCTATTGTTAGTTATTTAACAGATAATGATCCCGATGAAACTCATGATACAACTTTTTTTCAACAATTGGCAACTTCGATAGACGAGGAAGTGGCTGGTCTGACAGATAAATTTAATCAACCTTCAGATGATTATCAATCACCAATATCTAGTAATCAACCTTTGACTATACCAACTTCATTATCAACAAATATGTCACTTGATTCTAATGTTGAAACTTTTGATGAGCAAAAAACTTCTGGTGAAACTCACGAAGAGATTCCCCCAGCTGTTAAAGAAGTTACTAACCCTAATATATCACCTTCATCATTTTCGTCACATCATTCAGAAGAAGAGCTGAAGAATTCAGTTGAAATTCACCCAGTTGTTAAAGAAGTTGTAAACCCTACCATGCCACCATCGTCAGTTTCACGACGCAATTCATATTTACGTTCTGATAATACAGAAAAATTGAGATTGATTCTTGAACGTCAGTCAGATACTTTCGCTGAATTTATGGCTTTTCTAGAAGAGCGTAAATCAGCAAACTTACTTCGATTCTGGCTTCAAGCCGATTCATTCAAAAAAATTGCAGCTAACGAACAAAACATAGATCTGATTCAAAATGATGCATTGAGAATTTTTAAAGTTTACTTTGGTGAAACTGCTTTATATCCTGTAAGAGTAGTTAATAATATGTTAGTAAGGCAGTGTGAGAGTGATATATCGAAGGGACCTGCATCTAATTGCTTTAGGAAATTGCAGGAATATGTATTTTTGGTGTTAGAGAATGAATATTTTGACGATTTTATTCAAGCAATGAGAAGACAAGGCGAAGATATGAGCTTTATGTATGTTGAAGAACCAGCTCAATTTGGAAATCTATCTCAGGTGGAAGATAAATCTGTTATAATGAATGATATATCGATCGAAAATGGATTTCATAAACGAAATAATACAGTAGACAATTCATCCCTTGGCTCGTTAAACCGATCAGATTCTTCATCTATTAACGAAGCTGAGTCTACGGGACTAATAGAAAATCGGTCTAGATCATTCTCTACTGGATTTTTTGTGGACGCGTTGGAACAAATTACGACTACGTTAGGAATCAATGAATTTTCCCTAGACGCACATGCAGAAGAGGAGAATGATTCAGAATCACTATCTGACCGCCCAAAAATGCCAATGATGAATCTTAATGGAGTAAGGATAAGGATGACAGATATATCTGAAACAAATAGATTAATTTCTTTAACAAAATCTCGTACCTATATGATTGAAGTTGAACAACCTGGATCCGCAGGGTGGATTATGACTCGAAGTTTCAGTGATTTTGAGACACTGCATTCAGCTTTGGGAAAAGATTTTCCTAAAGCTGAAAAAGTAACAATGCCACGTTTGATGTGGAAAAAGAATCATGAGGCTTGTAAGTCTTTAGAACGATATTTAAATATTTTATTGAGCGATGCTTCCTTATGTGAAAGTGAACCTCTCCAAAAGTTTATGAAAAGAGACGGTCTTCCAAATGATGATTTAGAAAGAACACCTAGTAAAATAAATAGAGCGTTATCGATATTATCAATTCCAAGATCCATATCTATGGTTAATCTTGTTGGTTCAAGTCCACATGATGCTCCTAAAAATCAAGAATTTATTTCAACTAAAACTAGCTTTGAAGGATCGTATTCTAAAGAATCATCGGATCATTTTCCAACATATACAGATAGATCACAAGAAATGTCAGATGAAGTTTCCGGTAAAAACTCTCCATCCTCAACTTTTTCACTCATCACGTGCCCTAGCATTGAGAGTAGAGCTTCAGATGAATCAATAATATTACCCAGTGAAAATGATACACCTGAAAAAGTACCTATTTTAGAAAAACCTCGACGTCCAAGACCAAATAAACAAATGACAGGTCAAGACATTGATCTTCTTATCGATACAATTTTTGATACTATTGAAGAAATATTTGATTTATCAGAAAAATCTCAATGGCATCTTCGAAAAACCGTTTTATCAGTTTTAAGAGGGCTGGTACGGAGATCTTATACTGAAGCAATAAAGCAATCTTTTTTAACAACCATAAATTCATTTTCCACAGAAGATTATATGGTATCATTGATTGATGGTTTTACCAATTCATTTTGGCCTAATGGAGTATGGGCTGATTTCGATCAACAACGAAGTGAAGAAGAAAAATTACGAACAAAAGATGAGGCCAAACGATTACTTTTACAAAAAGCTATACCAAATTCTTTAAAACAAGTGGTGGGTTATGAAAATGCTAAAAATATGGTTGGAAAATTAGTTGATGGGTTTTTAGCCGAAAAAGAAGTTGTAAGAGGAATGGGTATTAACATATTGGAAAATGTTATTAAAATTATTCTAAATGGATGAGGTTCTTTACTTTTTTTTTTTTTTTTTTTTTGAATATTTATTATTGTAATAACTCACCATTTTGTAGATATATATATGTTGTTATGGTTGTTTATAAACGAATTTAGTATGTAGTATTGTATGAATTATCTACTTTATTATATTCTATTCATATCGATATACTTTTTTTTTTATAATTTGAGTTAGATCTTTAATATATTTTTGGTTAAAAAAAGGGTGCTTGGATCTGTATAATCTGTATATCAGAATACATATTCGGATAAATCAGATATCCGTTTCTGTATCATATTAAAAAAATATATATACCTGATCCAAAATCCATTTACATGAATTACTAGACTAATTAGATAAAACAAAAGTGTTACTATAATATGTATTACATTTATTTGTATGGATTTTAAAACTATTAAAGTTGAATTAGATTAATATTTATATCGTTATTATATATATAATGTTGTATGAATTTGGAATTCTGTGAATTTGTGATCCAAATCATATCTTTCAATAATCATATTTTGTAAAGATTTTTATTAAAGGAAAAAAACGTTAGACGCAATAAATATTTTTTTTTCACAATGGAACTTAATGATTTATCTTGCAAAGCGATTGAGGAAAATTATTAACTTTACTATACAATAGCCGGCACAAATGTAAAGGCGAATTTTATGATTCAATTTGGTATGTGAAGCCACATGGTATTAAATGTAAAAACCAACTTTCTAAATATACCATAGAAACAGACATACTAATGCAAAAGTTGTAAATGTATAGTATATTTCTTATAACAAAATTTATTTCTTCACACAAGTTTTCTAATCCACTCAAATGGATTTAGAATAGGAAAAATTCAGATATTAATTTTTTAATTTAGTTTACTAAAGAATAACAATTCGAAAAAATGACAATATATATTTGCAAAAACAAAAAATTTGATAATTTATTATTATTAAAGTGTTAATAAAAAATTATTGTCTCATTTTTTTTTAAGATTTTTAAATAAAGCCTCTAGATAGTGCTTTGCTTTTTTTTTTCCTCAGAAAAATTGTCCAATATTATTATAACTTAATAAAAGAACTATAGAAATTATCTGCGCTTTCTATATCTTTAATTTTACTTTTTTTTTAAACCCGCTTAATAAATTTAGAGGCAATTGCAATCGACTCAAAATGTATTTCGAGGATTATACCGTATTTTCACGAGATAACGGATAGGGTTATTTAGAAAATTGCGCTTCTTAAAAATAGTGTGCATGGTTTAATAACATCTATGAGTGAAATAATGCGCACTTCGTCCACATAAGGTCACATATTGAAATCTTTTATGTAAATTAATAAAATGACATGTATCAAGGAATTAGGCCTATATCTAAATCTCTAATATTATATTTGCACGTACTGGAAATAACGCGTATATAGTATTATTCAAAATGACGCGCAGGCGGACGTTATTACGCGAAAATACAGTATAATAATAAATTTGTATTTAAAAAGACTGTATTTAGAGAGAGTAAAATCATTTTAAAAATACTTCAGAACCTAAAAAAAAATCCGCATTTATGAACTATATGGAAAATATGCGCTGATATATATAGTGTATATGAATTATGTTTATTAGATAGTGTGCATTATTTAAATTTGAACATCGTAATAAAATTAAAAGTACAACAAATCTAGCCTATTGCTCTGCTATAATGTCAAAATGTGGTATAATTGAGAGATATATCGAAATTCGTATGTTGATATAGAAATAAAATTTATGCTTTATAATCATAATCATCATCATTAGATTTAGCACGTTGAAATAATACATCATGATCATCTTCAGAATTTGAACTTGAAATATGTGGATCTGTTAAAGGTAACGGCATATGAGCTATTATGTCGTTATTACCAATTGGTTCACCATCATTTTGACCAGATCTCCAATATAAATCTATCAAGATGTTTGTGAAAAAGAATATTAGAAATGAAGTACTCGCAAGAACCAATGCATATGAGAATGGATCAATGCCGTATTCTGTTAACAATGAAATCTGTTCAATATTTGCACCCATGAAAAGAAGTCCAGAAAAAATTAACATCTAAGATTGGAAATTGGGTTAGAAAAAGCGATTTATAAATTAGTCAAAATATGTAAATAAGATATATATTTCAAATAATTACAATAATTACAATAACTACAATAACTTACATAAGGGCACAAATAATTTAATGGAACCAATTTTTTTTCAGAGAGAAAACCAATTTCAGCTAATCTTACTACACTAGCACTCATGAGCACATAGCCGAACATTGCATGAATTTTTGTGGATATTTCAGAAGACTGCGCATGTGAACTCATAGCATAACCGGTAAATAAAATTATAAGAGCTGGCATTATGTTTCTTTTGCCATTCCTGGAGAGATAAATACCAACAGTACCACCAGCCCACCATAGTATTCCTAACGATGTATGCTGTAAAAGTATTAATTTTTTTTTTTTTTTTTTTATAAATGAATATACTATCAGTTACTATCAGTGAATAGACATACCTGTAAATCTCTATGAGACCAAACCTTTAAAATTTAAATAAGAATAATAAGAAATTTGTAAAACGAGAAAAATCGAAACATTTTCGAATAAAATTTGAATAATACTTACATTACCTCTATGTTCAGTGAAAGTGTTTACAAATCCCCAAGCCATGATTATCCAACTATCATAGTAATCTTGTGATTTTCCTTTACGCTGTAGCCATCCTGATGCAAGTCTTAACATCAAAATTAAAAAGATACCATATGCTATAAATGAAGAACCCATAATAAAATGCGCAAGACATTGCCCTATATTTTCACCCCTATTATTTTTAGAATAAAAATTAGATTTCGTAAAGAAAAAATAACATTCAAAGTGAAGCATATACGTACCTGCACCATCCATCAATAGTTATCACACCAAATACCATTTGTACGTAGCCCAAAATAGGTATAAAGATACCAATTATTTTATGAATTTTTGTTGTTAAAGGTCGAAACCATTTGTTAGGACCACTTGTAAAATGTAGTTTTAGATAAGCACCAATACCAACTTGGCTTATTAGAGTATAAATGAGGAATGGTGCAAATAAACTATGAATGTTATCACCAGGGAATTCTCTTCCACCATGTGCATGTCCAAGAAAATAACCGATTATGGTGAAAATAGAACCAATTATCTGAACAGGAACATGCCAACGAGAACGACTGAGGCCCAGTACCATACCTTTCTCAGCATGGAGAAAGCTTGATAGTTAATAAAATATATCTATCTATCTATATGTATATATTCATAAAATTTAGCATACCCGTAGGAAATATTATACCAAAAGCTAAGAACATGAAAGCGATATGAGCCCAAAGAATTCTATCGATAGGAGCCTGAAAGGCTTCATCATTATCCATAGTTTCGCTCGTTTCATGGTGTTCGTGAGCAAAAATAACTTTTATAAAAAAAACTGAGATAAATAGTAAAAATCGAAAATTTGAAAATAAGGTCATTATCAAAAAGGCAAATATTAATCCTGAAACGAAAAAAAACTATACAAACATAATATATATATGTATGTTGTAACAGTACAATAAGCAAATATATCAGATATGCATGCATTGGCACAACTTTGTGCAACAGAATTCATTTAATGACTAAAAAAAAAGTCTTGGTATGATAATTAACATTAACGCTAATTAACGTTAATGTCTCACTACTGTATTTAATTAAAGGTAGAGTATATGGATCACAGGGTATATGAATATTAAAAAAAAAATAAAATAAAAATTTAAATAAAAATAAATGATATGAAAATTATTCTTTTTAATTCCAACAAACGCGAAATAAATCGAAATTGCGTATCGGTATTGTTTTTTTTACTTAATTCGTGAAATTACAATTCGGACGCCTTCAGATGGATTTGAGTAATTTTCTCCATATATGCCTAAACGAAGTGGTGCATAAATTACATTATCGTTGGTATATTAATGGTATAGTATTGGTATATATATCTACCATATGACATCGTGAATACTACAGTACTAAACAGAGGTAAAATTCCAAATTTAGAATTATTCATACAGTTGTTACTCTAGAGGCTTGTATGATGACTGTGTGTATAGCGACCGGATAATGGCAAGAATAATATTAATTAATTAATTAGTCAACTAAATTATCGGTTAAATTATCGGTTAAATCATAGATAACCCAAGTTATCAGCTTAGTCGACTAAAAATCAATGATTTGACCTGGGTGGATGGGTGACCCGTGGGTTGACCTCATAGTTCTGCAGTATATTGGATTCCGAAGATAATCGTTATCATATCCATACTTTGCTTGACATCTAATAAAAATTAGCCGAATGATTTTTTGCCGATTCAATTAAGTTTGTGATTTCGGCATAATAGATTCAATAAATTGATATATCAATGTAAATATAACTTGAATACATCTCCGTTAGTCAGTCCGAAAATTGCTAAATACTCAAACACTTTTAACAATATGGATGTATTAAAAAATTTTTATCACTTTTAGAACAACGTATTATTTTCGGGGCATTAATCATCTGCATTTTTTAGGGTTAGAGGTTAGGATTTTAGGGTAGAGTTTATAATAATAATAAAGAAGTAAAAGTAGGTTTTAGAGGGTTAAATAGAACCCTCATTTCATTTTAATCCGATTATTCACAACCCTGATCGGCCGGCTCTGACTCGAGATTTTTTAATCACTACGTTTTATACTTCTATCTTTCATCTCATTGTCATTTACATAATTTCCACCACAGAATGTTTATCATCACAGCACCAACGCGACTTTCGTTTAGCCAGTCGTTTAATTAAGAAGGAATCTAGACTAGTGTACACTAGCCTAAATTCTTTCTTAATTAAACGGCTGGCTAAAAGAAAGTCGCGTTAGTGTTTCGATGATAAACATTCTGTGGTGGAAATTACGTGAATGACAATGGGATGAGATTAATTATTATCGCGGATCATATGAAATCAGATTAAAAAGAAATGAGGGTTTCTATTTAACCTACTTACTTATACTTGTTTATTACAAACTCTACTAGTGATACGGACCAACCTGGAAAATATCGGCGGAATATAGACATTAAGACAACATTGAATACGAAACTCTTATTATAGATGTTTAAAGAGCGAGAAAGGTTGAATATCTTTCAGAATTATTCAGAATTATTCAAAATCATTCATAAAAAGGTCAGCCTGATCGACCGCCAGTCCTAGCCCGAGATTTTTTCATTGGCCTGTATCACTAGTGTGTCAATAACGCTTAAAGATTATGCCGGGTGTTACCCAATACAAATATGAACAATGAATAAATACTACGATACACAGATTTGACAAAATACATCGAGAAACCAACCCTATACCATACAATAATACTTTAATGAATATCCAAAGAATGTATTGCTCACAAAATAGAAACCTTGCTAATTGTCTACTCAGTAAAAAAATTCGATGTGCACATGCACTGGTAAAAAATCATATTTTAACAAAATAATAACCAGTAATATATAATATAAATTACAACTTATTTATATATATATTATATATTCACTAGGTAATATATGAATTTAAACATATTAACTAAAAATATATATATTGCCTAGTTGTCCGAGGACTTAATGGTGTAATCATAGACCAGATTTTGTGTCCGTGCCTATTTTTAGATCAGATGATCATCGCTTAGCAATTTTTTAATTCATAATAAAAAGAATATTGGCTTCGGACATCTAACAGCACCTGTTTTCTAGTAAATATATAAGTTATAATTTGTATTATACTATATATTACTGGTTATTATTTAGTTAAAATATGATTTTTAACCAGTGATGTACGCTCCGCACATAAAATTTTTTGTGCGTACGTTACTTTTTAATAATTATTTTAAAATAATGTCGCTATATTGTTAACCCTGTTCTACCGTCGAAAAAGATAAATACCCCATTTTATCAACCAAGAGCAAGCCAAGGATGAAAGATAAAGTCTTATCAGAGACAAAAAAAATCTCAACAATTATTAGAGAAAGCAAGAAAATAAAATGATTAATCCAAATATAGGCTATTCAAAACTTTATCAACGATGAATTCATAACTTTAACTGATTTATCTGTTCAATCTTTATTTAATGTCTAGCGACATATCCGCGAATATTTGGGATTACTATTTGAAAATTCCAAAGTCATTAACCATAGATAACTTTTGATTCACTGATCCGTTTTGGATGATTTTATGATCAAAATGATCGCTTCAATGAGACGATTCTAAGAGTCCAAAATCGTTAAAAATTCAATAATGGTATCCCGAGATTAAGGGTGCTTTAGGATGATTAAACCAATCCTAAAACACCCGAAATGACACAAATTCCTGGGATCCCATGATTGAATTTTAACAATTTTGGGCTCGTCTCTAAGAGACGATTATTTTGATGGTAAAATCATCCAAAACGGATCAATGAAACAAAAGTTATCTATGGTTAATGACTTTGGAATTTTTAAATAGTAATTCCAAATATTCGCGGATATGAGCAAAATAAATAAATAAAAATAAATCTTGAGTACTATGAGACCACTTTGGTGAATTTTTTTAGCTTATCATAATTTCTTTCTTTATTGGATATTCTTGCAGCTGGCTTCGTTTCTGGTTTATTTTAGCAATCAGTTTTAATTTCTTTTTCCATAAACACCTTTCTTGCTAGTTTCAAATTGTCACGTAAAAATTTTTATAAACAAATAAAATTCAAGTTTTTAAAAATGTTTACAAAAAATTTTTTACGTGTATGCAATGAAAATTAAATCCGAATTTTTTTAAAGAAATAAATTGTCCGCAATCTAATAATCATTTAAAACTTGTTGGCTCTTTGAAGAAGAAAAGGATAAGTTAACTTTTGACGTTCCCGACCCCATTCGACTCTAAACTTAAGTGACACAAATAATTCCCTTTGTTTACTAAGATTAGTGAAAAGTTTTATCTAAGAAATCTTTCTTGAATACCAATTGCCAAAAAATAGAACCAACCAACTATTAGTTCTAACTGTCAGCCAAGAGAAAAGTCATCCAATATGAAACAATTTTATTAAGCACGCCAAAAAATAGAACCAACCAACTATTAGTACTAACCCCTGTCAGCCAAGAGAAAAGTCATCCAATATGAACCAATTTTATTAAGCAATTAGAGAAAACCAATTTTATTAAGCAATTAGAGAAAACGTCCAAGCAAGAAAACAATAATAATTTAAAACATTAGTTCGGGCAAGGACCTATGCTGATACAGTAATTACAAAAAGTAATTAAAAGACAACAGAGCGCTATCAGCAATTGGAATAGAAACAAAAAGCTTAAATCGAGCAACCACTATAATATTTTAAAGAAAAAATAGTTTTTTTGCTGAGAAAATATAATACATTAAGATGAATATGGATATAAAAAAAAAAAGAAAAAATGTAGAAATCTACTTATTAAATCCTTTTTAATGTCTTTCTTGACTATTTCTTTGAGTTATTTAAAGCATCAACCTCAAATACAAGCAAGGTGCTATGATTTTGTCACTTTTTTAACAAAAAATTCTACCAGATAAAATGTTATTATTTCTACCAAAATCCTATTTTAATTTTTTTCGGATTATCTAAAAATTCACCTGCGCTTTTTATAAGGTTTGCAATTTCTTTTTTGTCGAGAGTGTCACTTATCCTTGCTAGATTACCACTTAATTTTTTTGTGTTTTTGATGATTGTTCTTAAATCTTCTTCGCTAACTTCTCCCAATTTTTCGTTGACATTAATAAGCATCTTATTAACATAATTTATGAAGCGTCTTATTTTTATTGTAAGTATAACTGCAGATAGAATTAAACTTACAAGAAATATTACAAAAATATTGTTTATTATAAAAAAGTTGGTTAATATGTCGCTGTTTAAACACATTATCATCTAACTTTTCTCCTAAAACATTCTTTTATAAAGAAATACAAATAAAGTGATGACCTAACACTCATATGTGCTAAAATTAAGTATATATGTTGTAATGATGTTAGTCAAATAAATTGGCTCATATAAATTAATAATCATAATGAGAATTAAGTTTTGCTACGGCTAATTAAATTTTATGTAAAGATCTGATTTTTATTAACTCTTATAATATTATGAATAGTTAAAAACTCTGGTTTAAGTGGTGACTCATTTGATTCTACGCAATAAACCACTTTTTCGTTTGAGATTGTAAAAAAAAAAAAAAAAAGGTTAAAAAGGTTATAAATGCAGAAATATGATCAGTGACATAACTTTTCTGTGGCTGACATGTCAATCGCCTTTTGTCATAAACAGTATCAGATACATGCGTATAATAACATCTGGCACATAAATAAGTTATTCTCATTAGAATTAAAAATCTTAAATTT